TCGTAGGGTTAGAATCTCTTTAGCGTCTACTTTGTAATTTCAAAGTATATTTCTATAATATTTTTTTTAAACAGGTTTTATTATCAAAAGAAACAACGCAACTTTCTAATGAGATCTTATCACGTTGGGCAACCTCCATTACTTTTTTTAAAACTTAAGAAATGGTTATATCACTCAATCGAAATAATGAAACCATGAATGTGTATTGAAATGGTATTAACGTATAGATTAATCAATAATCATTTTTATTTATTTTTATCTTAGTAACTTTTATTTATCAAATTATTATTGAATACATCAAAGTCTAATAGTTTAAAATGTTAATCTTTTGGAATTGAGAATAATTACGCATTACATGGTGTGGATTCTCTAAATGTAATATATATTGATATATTCTTGCGTCGACCAAGGCGTCAGTAGTAAAGTTTCGAATGTTAAGATAATTTTCTTCCCAGGGAAAATGTGATCAAATGTACTTATGAAGAGTTCGGTACTACATAACTATATTGCACACTTTGATTCAATTACAAGGTTATATTCAGTAGAGTCGTGCCAGTACATATTAGTAACGTCACGCTCTCGTTATAGCTTATGCAAAGGAAACCAACATTTATAACGTAATTAAGATCATAGATGCAAATATTACTTCAAAATTGTACGAGGCGTGCTCATCGGTATATCTCCACTAGTCTAAATTGTGTTGTTCCTAATCGTTAACAGAACTTGCCGGAAATTTGCATTTTTGTTTGATTGGATTCAGTCGCGATAACTTTTCTTTAGAACTCCAACCTGCTCCGTTCAGACAGCTTCTCAGCCGACATCAAATGTAGCTGCGTTGTTGATTCTACTGCAGCACAATCATCCCGTGCTAAGGTCTGGAAAATCTGAAATCCTCTACATCTGCGCGAACTCCATCCTTGTCTTCCTTAAAGGAAACCTTTTCGGGAATAGCAAAACTTGAAAATTCGCTATTTCGGAACTTGATATTTCTCCCCGCTGCTCCTTCGATGATGAGTCGGAGACGGCGCAGTATCTCCGCCATGTCTGCTACTGAGCGGATTTGCTAGACTTTCCGAGAGGCCCAACAGTAAACACTACTTGTAACTTTTTCGGCGCCCGTGCGACGAGGTTGGTGAGGCCGAAACGAAGGAAATAGATCAAGCACGCAGGGAGGCGCGGATCTTGAGAAACCCAAGCGAACTAATAAATCACATTCTAAACATGCGCAACTTTCTCTCAGGAGCTCACCTGGATGGCGTCTTCTGCATTCCTAGGAAGCGCCGCGACCATAGAGCATTGTTCAGCCTCCGTAAGAAGGGAGCACCTCATACGGGGGACAGATTCCAGAAGAATTCCGATTTCAGAGGAAAACTTTGAAATGTCACGCCGAAACAGAAATATGTAAGTTCGCCTCTAGGCTATTAATTTCTCAAGACAAGTTAATGACCTACCAACGTCTACAGAAAATAATGATTTACAAACATTATGGATGAGAAAAATACATCCGATTTTACAAAATTCAATAATTGGAAAAAATATGTAATTTTTCACAAAATTTTTTTCTTACTTTTCGTTTAATCAAAGTGCCTTTAAATTCATTTTCTGATTCATTGATTTAATTGCCGATAGTTACCAAACCAATTCTCTTGTTATCGAAACCTTAATGATAGTGCATCAATTATGTGTCAACACATTTTATACAGGAAATTATATGTACATTGAGAGTTTATTTTTGTAGATTATACATTCATCTTTCCAATCTACGAGAATAACTGATAATGGATTTTAATGAATGACTGCAAACGTATTCGCGCCCTTATTCTCCTTCCACGATTTTCAAGCGAACGAAAACATAAACGAAACCACAAAAAAGAAGAATTGTATTCATCTGAACGAGGGCCAAAAGCTAATGAGCACAGCCTGACATCCACAGTACCCCTTTCAACCGAAAAAGTTTGGGTTTGTTTGATACCATATATTCACTCCATACCCAACGCTCAGCCATCTGGCTGAGGAAACAGATAAAAAGAAACAAGGACCAGCTCATGGAACTCCTCAATGCCGCACTATATTCATTTGCTCACCGTTCCACCCCAGTTTCCGCTTTTAAAATTCTTTTTGTGCCGCACCGTCGGATCGGCCCTGCCGAGTCCAGATCGAAGACAGAACCGAGGGAGGGCGCGGCGCGCCGTCCGCAGGCACACCACGAGGTTTCGAGGAGGGATAAGTCGGAGGGCCTCCCTTCTCACTCGAGAACAGCGAGGGATAGGCTGGATACCGAGGCAGATGGTTATTTATTTCGGGGGTTTGTTTGTCACACAAGAGCAGTCAAGAGTGCAGAGAGAACGCGTACCAACTTGAGGCACCACGCGAAATTCTGCCGAATCTGGGGGAGATTTGGAAAGCAGGCGAACCGGCAACGTAGTTTGCGGAAGAATGCGATCCGGATAGCCACACTTTCTATTGCGTTTGGTCGGGGAAATCCTTTGCACGATCGTATATAAAAAGCAGTGGAACTTCATAATCTATAGAATTCGATATCATAACTTCACGAACAAACTTAGTTTGATATTCGATTGAATTTTCTTTTTCTTTTATACACATTACATTATGTATATGTTCCTTTCATGGAGGTCTTAATCTGGATGATTGAGTATGTATTCTTCCACTTAAATTAATATAGAGCGCATTCTTTTGGGATCAAAACTAAGTTTCGATTACAGTTTTTAAAGTGTTTTCTAAATTATTTTTAGTTCCTGCAAAGACCTGTTTTTATCATCTTAAACGTAACTAAACATATTACTACCTAGAAAAATACTCAAACATTCTGTAATGTATTACTGTGAATAAAGGTCCGGAACCAATTTTTTAGTTTTCTGCCTGCCAAACTGACCAATCCACCCAGTAGCAGAAATTGAAAATTAATCTATAGGATTCCGATGTATTGAATCCTATTATTTGGGAGGAAAATCCATTAATTGTTTAAAATATATGGACCATATGGTTAATTTCATTGGCTTAAATGAAGGTATTCCTGATCTCATTTTTAATTAACAAACAGTAGAATTAATAAAGACAGACAGGTCAAGGGTACGTGATGGTAAGAGGCTATGGAAATAAGCGTGCATGGATGTAAGATGCATAGCATCTGATTCTGTAATTAACTGATTCGGTGGATAATCAGCTTGCTGCGTAAGACGGATTATTCAAGAGGGACTAGTTTTGAAGACTAAATGCATACATATTATTAATCTTCGTCATTTACATCCCTCCGTACTCCTTTCCTAATTTTTTTCAGTAGGAATAAACATTTTTTTTTAAATAACACATTACAGATTTATGTTCTTTAATTTATCTGAACTTTATACACTGTATCAATGTTGTACACGCTTTGCCTTCCATTTATTACAGAAATGTGAGTGCGAACAGTTCTCGTATCTAAACAAAAAAGATGAGAGTACTTTACTGCAATAAAAGTCCCTAGAGTTTAATATCACGTGACGTAACGTCCTTACAAAGGAGACACAACGAAAATCATCGCACCTGAACTTCTGCAGCGGTTCATAAGCTTGTTAATCCATTACGCATGTTAGCATCATGGGCGGTCAAATTAAACTCCTCAATTTGGCCTAATAACCAACGCGTTTTATGACGCCGTATTAATAAAAATGGATTGTACATCTTCACTCAATCTAACCAATGCACTCTTCTGGGTAGCAGTTCAACAGCTACCCTTGCCCGACCCACCCCGCTGTGTCGCCTTCATCAACTGGATTGTCCCTTTTTGTTTCCAAATAGTACAATAGTCACAATGAAAATACTGATATATAGTGAAGTACAAACTATAAATTATCCATATATAAAATTACAATATTTGAAAGATGTTTCAGAATAAATGTACAAGTTCTATGTTTTGTAGGCCCGAAGAATTCAAAGTCGGAGGCAATTTTCGCCAACGTGCGGTGGGAATCTCATACTACACTTGCTTACACATGGCATTTAAGCAGGCTCACATTCTAACGCAGCTTAAATGTTCTGCACAACGCAAAAAAAACGAATTACAAGATGAGTTGCCAATGTCGACGTGTCCCTTTTGCAAATGTTCCACGTGTACACTTCGTTTCTTTATAAGTGATAATCTCCTAACTCCTTACATTCTCTAGACATTTTTAACATTCTATTTCGAAACATTTCTGTACATTCAATCTTTTTAAAGAACAGAATATACACTGAGGTGACAAAGTCATGGGCTAGTTGATATGTTAAATTACAGTATGACAGAGGTATTGCAAACAAATATATTAAAAGAGCAGTGCCAAATTGGCAGAACTTTCATTTTGTTACTCAAGTGAATTCATGTGAATATGTTTTCTAATCGTAGATTATTCGGACCGCATGGACGGGAATTAACCAGACTTTGAAGCGAAAGGTGTTTGAAGGTAGACGCTTGGAACATTGGCATCGGAAATCGTTAGGGAATTTAATATTCCGAGATTGCACCGTTTCGAGTATGACTTAATTTTAAGCATAACTTCTCTCCGCGAGAGCGAAGAGAGTGAGAGCGCAACGGCCTTCACTGATTGACCGAGAGCAGCGGCAACGTTTGCGTACGAGTTGTCACTGCTAGCAGACGTCACGCAGTGAAGCGCTGGCGTCGAAATAACCGGCAGAAAAATCAAGCTGTGCGGCGTAACGATGAACGTTATCCCGTTAGGGACCAGTTGCGGCGAAATGGCGCCTAATTGGGCTACGGCTCGCAGAAGACCGACTGAAAGGTACCTTCGTTACCAAGCATGGCGTCGCCTTCCCTTGGCGCCTCTCCTGGGCTCGTGACCATATCGATTGGGACACTAGACGAGCCTGCTTTCGTCAGGACGAGCTTCAAGTTTCAGTTCGGCGTAAAGAGCTGATGGCGGTAGGATTCGAGTGTTAGGTGGTGCAGACCCCACGAATCCATCGGACGCAACGTTGGTCAACAAAGCACACTGCAAGCTGATTGTTGGCTCCTTAATGGCTGAAATGGACTGGGTCCTCTGGCTCGTCAAACTGAAACCGATCATTTGACTGGAAATGATTTCCTACAGGAGATAATTTTCAGCCATTCGCTGAACTTCTGATGTTCCGAAGCAACGATAGAATGTTTTATGGATGGACAATGCGCCATGTCACCGGGCCACACTTGTTATTGCGATTGGGTTTTAAGAACATTCTGGTATAAATTAAGTGAATGATTTGCCATCCAGATCGGATCTATATGAAATTCCCATCGAACAGTTTATGGGACATAATCGAGGAGCGTTTTAGTTTCCAGTGCACAAAATTACTACACGCCAGACACTTTCCATTATGGACCCTCACACAGAGGCTATTATCAAACTCACTTTGTGCAGAGGCCTTCCAACGACTTCTTCAGTCAATGCCACGTCGAGTTGCCTTGCACTTCGCGGGCAAAAGGAGGTCCGACTTGGTCATCTACGAGGTGTGTCCTCCTCGTGTACGTATACATGAGCGTTAAATTCTATCCTAGTTTTCAAACTTTAACTTTAACGTTAGTCTAATAGGCAATTATGTATACCGTTTCTGTCTTCTCTGACTACATTACCCGACAGGCCGTAGAAAACTATCCGCTCCCTGTACTTGCCACGCTATCTCTCTGTAGTTTCTTTAATCCTTAATGATACCATGGCTATTCCAGTTGGAATCAAATATTCTAACTGTCAGCACCAGGAGGGAGTGGGGCGGACCAGCCGTCCCGCTTCCTGCCGGAGTGGAGCAGTGCGAAGACGGCCGGGGGGCGTCCGGCCCACGGATCTTACGACCTGCCCTCAAATTACGATCAGCGCGTCCGACCAACGCAGCGAGCGGCTGGGTGGGGGGGGCGAAATCGGGTCCAGGAGAGGCGCGGACTATGGCCGAATCTATACGTCTGAATTTAGCTCATACCTAATCCCTCAGTGGGAAGGCGTGTAGGCGGGCAAGGCAAAGAGCGAGCGCAGGCGGAAAGCAATTATCGGCAGCTCTGCACAGCGTGGCGCAGTGACGGAGCGGCGATCCGCAGACGAGGGCGGAGACGACGCAATTTAATGAAATAAGGGCTCACAGGTCTAGCGAGAGTAAGAGGAATTGCCGCAAATAAAACTATTAGGTGTTCTGACGCCAGATGAATTAAGCCGGAAATAAGGTCTTAGCAGTTGTCTTTGTTGTTTGGCAATTGTTGTGATGTGCATTAATGAGTTTGAGGTGACTTTATTCTATATTTATAACCTGAATGGATTTTATGAGAAATGTTTGAGCATTATATGGAACAAAATTTGGCGTTTTTGTTTCTAAATAGAATGGGAAAATTGATAATCAAATGGTTTCAATTTGCTTTTATTAGCCGGTCATACAGAACAAAATATTAAATATTAATTATCGTTTAATATTAATAAAATTGAATCAACACTAAATTTCGGCCATTTGTCGTTACTTTGTTCAAGACCAAACTGAATAAGTTGGTCTTGCCTTCGTTGAATAGGATTGACATCAGTCAATCGACAGCATTCGTCGTTTCATCGACAATTTTCCAGAAACGCGAGTTGTGTCGCATGCTTCACGCTCGGTGAGGATACCATAAAACAAACCCACTTCAAAAAAAAGTCGAGATATATATAGGCTCAACGTCGCGATTATAACTGAAGGAGATGCAGATGCGATTGCTGCAAGGCAGCGTCTTTGCGAATGATTCTTTAACAGATCATGCGTCAGGTGTGTTGATCAAGTATAAAACATTCAATTACATTTCAATTCATGTTTAACTCTGTGTTCACCAGACATCTGCGCAGCCACAACATACTCGTGACAAAATCACACTAATTTTTTCCAAGAAGTAGCTCGCACACTGATCAACATTGAAAAACTTATCTTATATAACATTCAACAAATTAAATATTTTAACATCACAAATACTGCCAATTGCATTAGCATAGAATTAACGTTCAACAGTTTCTTTACATACCACGGAATACCGAAAAATATTGTTAGAATATTACGTCCTCTTTTCCTATATGATCATCTCTTAATACACACTTTTATATTATATGTCATTTATCTCTCTCGACTTTGAACGTCTTATTGAGAGCCGTTCTGTTTTCAGTTTACGTCATTGTTGTATACTCCAAAAACACATGCTGTCCAAAACGAAACACTTGAGTTATATTAATGTCGGCGATATTTTCTGGGGACACCGTACTGGCGTATGAGCAGGTGATCGTCGTTCGACATGACACACTGAGTATGAGCATTAATTGGTAATTCGCAGTAAAAAAAATGCCAAATAACAAAAATTCCAGATAAATCGACAGTATACCGCGGTCACTGGGTTGAAACAAACAAAACCATTTCAATGGTATTCTAGCATTTTCTTCCATTAACAATGAATAACAAGCCTAAAACAATCATGGGAGGGAGGAATACTAGAGTCTACTCTATCTTTCAAGCCATGGATGCTAGCGTTTGGCATGTTAGCATTTCAATTACAGTCAAGGAAAACATCACCCATGGGAGGTGAGCCAATGGCAAATGCACCACTTGCGCAGCCGCTTTATCTCCAAAAAGCTCCTGCTGCATCCTTTTGAATTTAGGGACCAGATTCCCACCAAGCAGAAGTGAAAAAAATGTATCCATTCAAGATGACATTCACTTGAAGGTTAAGACAGTACACTAAGAGTACATAATACATCACCTGCATTGTTACACTTTACTTGTCAAGTAGCTGTTGTGATGTAACATTACTGAATTCAGTCACAACTACAACTGATGAAAACATCAATTCAATCACAAAAACCAAGAAGTGTCATTGCTGAAAACATTTTTTCCAAAGTTTCTCAGTCCCCATTATAATGTGAATTGTTTTAATTTAAATTTCGAATGCACAAGGCACCATTAATAATTCACGTGGTCAATAATCGATCACCACTTCGGTGAATTCTTTTTAAAAGTAATGTACAGAATTTTTAAACCTATAAACAATTATATCACAATCAATGTAAGCAGATCTAATTAATGTCTAAAAATAATAAATGAGACAATTAATAGCAATTTTAATGAAAAATAATAATACATTTTTAATGAATGCATATCTTTTTCAGAAGGGGGCATTAAATATAGCTAACTCCTATATTCCACATAAGGTGTACTAAAAATACATACATATTCATTGGTAATTAATTTTGTAACCATTATGTGATTTCAGTTATTGAATGTAATGAGTCCTTTCTTGCCTTCAATTAAATATTCATGTAAATGTTGCCATTACAGCGTACTTTTGACTCTCTTCATAATATTTCCTGGGAGATAGCCCCTGCTGGAAAAAGGGAAAGTACTCTTATATTTTCTATTCATTAGCTAGGGAATAAACATAAAGAATGAAAGGGTAAATTTCTGTTGCTATATTTCACATTGAAGGTTCGATGCCAATAGACAACGATATCACATCCACTTTTGTTTTAGTTGGGCAACCTCTATTATTACAACATGTGAGAACCCTTCCATTTGTCACTCATGCTACAAACATCCACTTTAATTTATTCCAAGTTAAAATGATAAACGCTAGTTAATGACTCAACAAAATTCCTGAGCTGACATCTTCCAATGAAGTTAGTACATTTCATATTACACTGTAGTAAAATACAAGAAAAACTACATAAAAATTAATTTTATGCCCAATTATTAGTTACAAAATCCCTAAAAATGGAAGATTGTTTAATTGTGTTTAATTTAATACATACTATATATATATATTTATAATATATATATAGATATCTGCCTATATATATATATATAGCCTATATATATATATAATATATATATATACTTATATATATTATATATAATACTATATTAAATTATAGCCACCAGTCATTAATTTAGGAATTTGAAATAAAAGTAAAATCAATTTCATGCAGGCTTATTACAAAAATTAATTACTTCATTCTATAAACCTTACATGATTTTACAGAACTCTCTGATTCAGTAAACCAAGGAAACAATTTATGTAACTGTGATCAGGTTATTATAGTGAAAAGAAAGACTGTTTATTAAAAATATTGAGCTCACATTAACTTTCAATTTCCACAATAACTTTCATTTCCACAATACAATAACTTCATTTCATGCCTTGCCTAGCATTAGTAATCCCATTTTCTGGGCCAAAATCATACTATGTAGAAAAGAAATTATGAAAAAACTTTTTAAAAAATATTTACAAATATATCAGAGATTCTTGCAAATTATATTAATTTTCCTTCTGCAAAGGAAAGACAATTCGTGAATCTTCTTCAAAATGTAGGTAAGTTCAACACAAATCAATAAAACAATATGAGAAGTACATTAATCACATCACTAACATAACTTGGATGCAAATTTTCTTTTTAAAGACTGAGTAAACTAGCAATACCTATTTCCTTATTAAAAGTAATTGCATGCTACAATTATCTTACCAAGATGACACTAATTTCAAACACCAAACCAAAATATTATTGTGCATCTCCTTAAACAAGTTCTGTAGTTAAAAGAAGTTTAATTATAAAACTTTGCCCATGGATTGGATTAATCTGCTAACAATAACTTAAATCTAGGCAATAGATTATTGGAATTACAAAATAATTGTATCTGTTGCAAATGGCAAAATTAGTCTAAATTTAGTCATTAGTCTAAATTTTCAACATGTAAATGAATTAATGTTATAATGCTTATTTGCTAAGTATATGTAATAAATACAAATTCAACATTCCCTATATATGCATTTTTGTAAATTAAATTTACAAAATCAGTTAACTGTTATGAACATTCTCAAAACAGTTAAAAATTGATATACATTTTTTTGGCAAATAAAAGCTCATTAGTCATATAAATGAAGCTTATTCCTACATTTTGTAGCCAAAAGGATATTCAACATTTGTTTTAACTTCATATATGAAAATTATAAAATAATTTTTGAAACTATACATGGAAATATCTTGAAATCAATGAAAGAGTAGTTGACTGATTTTGTCTTGTTGCTACAGATATATTCATCATCTTTTTTACTAACAGTAATGTGAAAAACAATATGTAAATGTATTGAAGAAATAACATTTATTTCAATTATAATCGTTTAAGAAATATCCAGATATACAATAATTCTCCAATTATATAATAAGCATTTATACTTTAATCACTAAAATCCTTTCTTGAATATTTTACACTGAAGAAAGAAAATGTGAAAGGTTAGGTAAGTGACCGAAAATAAATTTTATTAGTTGGCGATTTAAAAGCTTGCTCTCAATGGAGAATTGCCGATCTTATAGTATACCAGTATGGGGAAAATTTAATGTATAATAATGGAGAGATGTTGACAGAATACTCTCGAAGTAATACATGGATACAGACAACTTGGAATTTAAGATCTATAATTGATTATATTATATTACGACAAAAACCAATACTCTGGATAAAAGATGTAAAAGTATTGAGAGGCCCAGAGTCAGTGAGTTATCAGATCATCATTTACTGGTGTCCAGAATTTTCTTTCCTTTTAAAAGTACACAAGATGCTTACAAAATTGAAGGTGGTAATAATATTTTAAAAATAAATTATAATTTGCAAAAACGTCACGACGACTCTACTTGTTTTCTTTCTTTATACAATGAGATCAGTCACAAAACTGTGTAACGTTGTAGATGATTCTGCTAATAAAATGTATGAGGCAGTTAAGAAGAAGATACACAAATCTGCCTTTGAGGCATTAGGGGAAAAAGAATAACAAAATATATGGAATAGGAAAAAAGAAATGTGGTGGAAAGGAACTGTAGAGATAGTATAAAAGAAGAAAATGGCATTTAATAAGTGGCTCGCCACAAAATCTGACTAATACCTTCAAATATATAAAGACATAGACAGGAAGAACAAATCACAAAGAGCAGTCATTGCAGTAAAAAATGAGGTATGGCAAAATAAAAGGGAGGATATAAAGAAATGTTTTGGAAACACTAGAGCCAATAAAGCATGGTGTATACTGAAGTCAATGAGAAAACAAGATAATAACTTTGCAGGAATTGGTTCAATAAGCATGGAAGAGTGGAGGGAATATTATAAAGCAATGCTTACAGTAGATAGACATAATTTTTCGGTGGACATGGTAAATGAGAAGAGTACAAATGAATAAAATTCACACATCTCACTGGTAATGACACAAGATGTAATCAGAGCTGTAAAATTAAGTAAGAACAGTCGAGCACCTGGTTCTGGTAATATAATGAATTAATAAAGTCTGCACCACGTATACTCTATGAGATCCTGTCCAAGATACTCGATAAGTGTCTGAAAGGGGATACTGTACTTTGGGAGTGGAAAACTACAATAATCACTTTGATGTACAAGAAAGGCAATAGGAAAGTTCCAACTATTGTGGAATCAGTGTAATGCTGTCATTAGCTAGGCTTTATGGCCGTATTTTGAAAGAAACACTAGAGAGGGAAGTAAAGGATTTTGAAGAGCAAAATGGATTTAGACCAGGGTGCTCATGTACAGACGGGATATTTACATTACAAAACCTGATTAAAAAAGAGTTTGTAGATGTTTAACAACTCATCTAGCTTTTGTAGACCTACATAAGGTTTACAACACTGTTACACAAAAGTTGTGGACCAGTTTATAGAATGGAGTGTCGATAACTTATGTTAATGTCATAAAAGAATTTTACAAGAACTGTACAAGCATGGTCATAATAGACAATTAAGTTTCCTCAAAATTCCTGGTTACGAAAGGCCTTCGACAGGGATGTACTATAGCACTGACACTTTTTAAGATATATTTAGAGGAAGCGTAGTGGTATGGGCATTCCAGGCGGTTGTGAAATTATGTTTACCCTTCTCTTTGTCAACGATCAGGTCATAGTGGCAGAAGATATGGATGACTTGAGTTATATGCTTCTTAAGTTGAAAGAGAAATATGAAAAATGGGGCCTAAAGATTAGTACATCTAAAATTGAGTATCAAAGTGGAAGATGATGAGCGGAAAGATATAGAGATAGAGGCTGAAAACATTAAAGGTTGTACAACTTTTAAATATTTAGGAGTCACTTTACCATATAATGGTAAAAGCAGTGATGACATTACTAATAAAATTGGACAAGGTAAAAGAGTGATACGGCAACTAAAACCCATTCTGTGGAATGATAAAATAAAAAAAGAACAAAGCATATTACTTACTCCTCAGTGGTTGAAAGTGTCTCTACCTATGGTGCAGAAGTGTGGAGAAAAAAAGAGAACAAGACAGATTTCTTGCACTTGAAATGGATTTTTGGAGAAGAAGCAGTGACATTTCTAAACTGGAAACACACGGAATGAGAAAATAAGGGATATTATGAGCATTAAAAGAAATATTGACAAAATTGAAACCAAACACCTCCTCTTGTATGGTCATCTACAAAGAATTGAGGAATTTCGATGGCCTAAATTGATATGGAAATGGATTCCTCACAAGAGAAGTAAACAGGGTCGCCCACCAAGAAGCTGGGCCCAAGATGTACAAGATGCGATGACTGTCAGAGGACTACACAAAGGAAATTGGAAAGATTGAGAAAAATGGGAATTCCTTAAGCTCCGTTAGCTGTCTTTAAAGAGCTTAGTTATCATAATAAAAAATAGATGAAATAGAAATCCACCTCATGCTTTGCTTTGATGACTTGTTTCAAAGACATCTCAAGCATTAATAAAGCATCATATAATAAAACTTTACAAATTGTTAACTGATACAAGAACATTTTTCCAAAGAAAAATTGTAAAACAATAACAATTGCATTTGTCATCATACAAAATTAATATTTGAATTTTCAGAGTATCAATTTATTTCAGCAATGTGTTATTGCATGAAACTTTTTTCCACAGACAAGTTACTTCCTTCATAAACAACATAATAATAAAATTATGACGAGAAATTTGGATGAAATAATGTTACAAACAATACAAAATTATTTTTTTTCTTGATAAATATGCAGACTTATAACAGACATTTCATACATACACAAGCATACATATAAAGACATGTACGCAACCTAATCAATGATCAACAAGCACACACATACAAATACTTGTAAAATCTTATTTACATCCTTTTTATAAAGTACAAATTTATCTCTTTACAACTAAGCCACAGCCTTTTCAATAATAATTTAAAGTCATGACTATTTGCCCACATTTTCACGTTATTCAGTTATTGCATTTCTTTGCAAAGTAGAACAATCTCTTTATAATCAGAAGGCCTACCAATACTGTAAAATAAAACTGGCACAGCATTGCCTACTATCTACAATGCTTATCTTGAAAAATTAGCCTGTAAATTAAAATAATTAGCTAAATTTGATAAATTGTGATTTTCAAATCTATATTACAAGTTTTTGGGTGACAGTAATGGTATCTGACATTTTGGGTAAATGGACATATTAGCTTTTTCTCAAGGAGAGGAGGAGCTCTCTATATATCCTTACTGGGTTTAAGATCACAGAGCAAATAGCAATGATAATTAACCTATACATTAATGTTTGTGCAAAATATTTTGTGAAATACAATGGAAAAATATGCATTTTTCCTACAATATTGAATGTCAGTTACTTTTATTTAAATGCAAATGCTTCATTCTATCCTGCAATATTTTTCACCACGAAACGAGCAAAACAATAAATTCACAGACAATACATAAATGCAAGAAAAATAATCAAAATTAAATTAATACAGGAATTAAATCAGGTCAAACTACTTCTAAATACTTAATACTGCTTACTATTCATCAATACCAATTGAAGCCAAGATACTTATTGCAAAAGATAAAGAAGCATATTAAAACTCGCACAGTAGTACTTTTTTAAAATTATAATGCAATTATATTTTATACTTTAACACATTATAGTTAATGCACATATGAAGGAATAATATGAACAAACTGTTAATTCACATTTTTTGGTTTCATTTTTTGGGTAGACTTTCATCATTTAAAGAACCTGTCACTAGAGAATATTTCATTACCGGAATAAGCTATCTATGATGTGTTAAAAGTGATGCAATAGAAATCTTTCTAGTTTTGAGGCAACATTAATGTCAACAAAAACCCTATATTAAAAACAAATTAGTAAAGTTAAACTAAAATTCTAATTATCCCTTTGAATGGTAGATTTTGATTATAGAGAGATTTTCTGTTCTATTAGTTTCACATATATATTTTCACAAATAAAATTTAACAATATAACTGTTAAATAAACTTTAAAATAGAATATAAACTCTGGAATTAGGTGTAAAAACATGCAAAATAGATTTTGTGCTACCTTACGTAAAGCTTTAGTTTAAGAATCATTAATTTGCTATGCCCGACCAACAAAATTCATCATTAAATGCAGACAAATGCATAAATTACCATAAAAAAATCCAATAAATCAAAATTCTTGATATCAAAGTGACATTTGGACATTTAAGATACATTTTCATCTTTGTTTTCCATCAAAAGATAGATAAAAACTATGTTCAGTCATGATACAGACTTACGAAGTTGAGTCAATCGACTTAATTCACTGAGATGTTTCATTTGTTCCTGAAGTTCTTGCTCAGATTCATTGTCTTGAAGTATGTATGTAGACATGTTAACAGCTACAAAAAGTGCACATAATAATAAAGGACCCATTATCACGCCTTCTGGGCCCAACCAAAACATTCCACCAGCAATGGATAAGGCTGTCAAATATGGATGACCACCACTGCAAGTACAAACAAAAATCCAGGGCATTAATGATGATGATGATGATGATGATGATGATGATGATGATAAATAATATGTGCCAAAATCACACTAAATAGAGCATGTAATGCAAGTCATTTATAAAGCAAAGCCTTATTGCAGATTTGGAAAATGAGCGATATTAGGAGCTAGTTTTCAAATTTGTAAGAATGTGATAAAGCAACATTATAAACTAGTTGCCTACATTATTTTTCAATAACATTTCACAATAATATTTCATAAATTTATCAGAGAATCACAGTTAACTTTGAAAACTTTATTAAGCAGTAATACAAAAAAAAATATATTAAATACTCTTGATTCAATGAACCCCTGCTTGACTTAACCCATTTGACAGTTAAGTGTTTACACGCTCGTCGGCAGTTGTGATAGTAATAATAATAGTAATAATTATAATAATGAGAAGCATACTAGCAATGAACAATTCTTCAAAATTAAATAATTTTACAGAAATATTGACAGATTTTCACACAACTGTTTAGTTTTCTTTAGATTAGATTAATTGAAACAAGACTTCACGAATATATTATGAAAACAACACCTCTTTTCATTCTTGAGCACATTTACACATGAAAACTATTGAGATTTTGATACGCGTAGAAATAAAAAATTTTAACATTTCAAATATCTGCTTTTAGAATTGCATCAAATAATAATACAACACATGTAATGTAAATACGAATGACATACCAGATACTTCAAAAAATTACATATCTGTATTTTTGAAAAAATTGAAAGTTTTCATCAATATGCTTCTAATGTCATGTGCTCTATCTGCTCAAAAAGTGTACAAAAAATTGGAGAAGATTTTGAGAATTTCTTGTTAGAGAATGTTTTTTGTAATTGTCACTTTTCCACTCAAAACTACACAAACGCTATATATTATTTTCAAAGCATAATGTACATGATTATAAAGACCAAATTATAAAGAAAAAATTTGCTCTATTCAGCCCAAATTTTTAAATAAAAAAAATCAAAGTTATTTTTGAGAAAACTTTCAAAATGTCTTAGTGGCTTCATGTAAAATATTCCAAAAATTTATGATTCATTTTTAATTTGCAGGGCTCAGAGTCGGCTCAAGATTTAAAAAAGATTGAAATACACTTTTTCAATAGCAGTCACTGTCACAATTGGCCAGATGGATATGGGAATATCCATTTTGATGAAAATTTTACTAGGCACTTTAGGCATCAGTGCTGTTGACATGGACAGACAGCACAAATGTGAGGTACCAAAGTGGCTGCTACTCCAAAAAAACAGAACTAATCTTAACCATCATTGGAAAAGCACTAACAGACCGTACATACAGTTACTTACACCTTTGTAAGACGTTACACATCAAAAAAACATTAATGGCCTTAACATAAAAAAATGCTATCAAAATGCTAAGATGTATCATATAAGCACTTACATCATTTATCATTATTATATAGTGATAATGCCATCTCAATATAATGAACTGTTTAGAAAAGATTCGGGATGGGCCCTTCAGATGGGAAATACACCTTATAGTGTACCTCAGGTTGGAAGCTAGTCAAAGAAGTCATTTCCAGGTGCATGGACTTCAGAATCAGTGATAACTTAAATATTTTGGGTTAGACCTTTAAAACTCACCCTTTGATTTCTTTATAAATAGTGCTATCAATTGTAGAAGCAGACACTACTTGAATTATTGAAAGTAGCACAGCATAAAAGGTACAGTCTTGGAAATATAATTCCAAAACAGCTGGTGCACTAGGCAAGTATACAGGCATGACTGGAATTGCACCTAACATAGCTGCAAGAACTGAAAAATTTTATTTTTAATTAATATGATAAAATACATTTTACAATACTAATTAATAAAATATACTGTAGTTTATTCAATAAACATTTACAATGAATTTAAAGAAAGAATTGTTTTGCAGAAAAAAATCATGAATTAAAATACAAATTTTGAATTAGAAATAAATTTTGAAGTTAAATAGTCAGGAAGAAATAAATATTACAAAATTTCTGAACTACTATAGAACTAATGTTTGATTTGACGCACCAAAATATGTAATTAAAGATACATCAAAAATAAGTAATTAGTCATCACATACCTGACGGAATATATACAAGCTTGACTTGAAAGAGATTGTGAATAAGCCAAGTCCACAAACCATATATAATGGCACGCTTTATGGATGCATGGAACACACTAGCTATAGCATCCTCTAACGCCACAGCAAATCTCTTACCACTGTTGGGGCTATATTTTGTAATTAGATCTACTGGTTTATACATTTCATTACTAGAAGCTAAAAGATAAAAAAGAGCTGTAAAGAATACTATCTGTAAAACGTAAGAACAAATAAAGCCTATATTAGTGAAATAAGCATCTTACATGAATAGTAACTCAAGACAAATTTAAAAACCTCACCAAATTCAGAAAAAAATTAATAACAGCAGTACCACTTCCAAAAACAATCATAATAATGGCCAAAAAAGAATCCATGAAAAGGGTTATATTGCCCTTCAAAATTATCCAAAGAGAGTCAAACACTGTAAGCAAAGTTCCCACATTGTCTTGAAGAAAGGCCATAATTCCTGCCATATTAAGAAGCTCTACAAATAAAACAAAAAAATATTTCTCATAATTTCAATATTTAGTAAGTTATACACATTCCAGAACATGATTCATTTATGCGCATCTGCTCTAAAAATAAAAAAAACACACACACACCTGCCACAATCTTGATATTTACAATTTATAATTTCAGTTACAACCTACCTGGTGTCTTTTGTACATCTTCCACTAAACTATCAAAGCTGGCATAAATTGCACTTGTTGTAACTTTTGGCCCTATAGCTGCATTGTTTGAAGTCATCCAAGCCTGATAAATTCTGTCCCATAGTTGCAAAACTTGTTCCTCCAATTGAGATGCTTTTTCTGGATCTACATCTTTCAGCCAGTGATGAACCTAAAGGGAAAGGTAGTATTCAATAAGAATTGATAAATCAGCTATTTTGCAACGTTTTAAAATTTTGTTGTTGTTGTTAAGGTAGCATCAACATGTAAGTCATTAGCGATCACTATTGAAATTAACGATATGGTATCTGTAAAGATAACATGATGGGGTGATGATAGGGAGTGAAAAGACAAACACGGATTCAACTATGTCCAAGGCGGGACTCAAACCCACCTTCGGACTGAGATTGTTATGACACTACTCACTACTGCCTTAACAATTTCAGTGTTTAGGAAAAAATTTAAATCAGGAGTATAATATTGACATTTAAGTCCATGATAAGCTAAATTTTGCTGGTCTAGAAGGTGGAGATCATTAAGGCAGTAGTGCCATAACAATCTCAGACCAAAGGATCATGGGTTTGTGTCCCGCCTCGGGCATGGTTGTATCCATGTTCGTCTTTTCACTCCCTATCATCACCATATCAAGTCATCTTTATAGATACCATATTGTTAAATTCAATAGTGATTGTTAATGAACTAAATGTTGATGCAACCTTAACCCCAACAACAACAAAAATTAAATAGAAACAATAGCTGCCTAGTTAGAAACAATAACTACATGTATTCCATAAAAATAGATAACATTTCTACTACCACATGAGACCATGGTCTATCAGCTGACTCAAATTAAAATTTTCCAGGAGTATATTTAGTCTCACAACAACAGTTAAGCAAGTTGACAAGTCATGCCAATTCGTCTATTAGAGCAATGATTACAAAATTCACAAATTCCATTGATATATGTTCAAGATATCCAACAGACAATAAATTGTGCTCATAATATTATTAATGCAGCTTCAAAATACTCATTCTTTTTAGCATTTGTAGATGAATATAATCACTCAGAATTTACTTGTATTTGTAAATGTATATTTTCACTGTGTAACATGAAGATATTTATGACTTTCGAATTTATTTTTTCTGGTTCCCTGCTCTTTCCATGAAAGTGTTTTGCAAGGATACTTTTGCCATGTACATTATAGTACTTTTGCCTTAGTGAGTAGTTACAAGTTTGTGGCGTTCAATGAGCGAGTTGTGACAGAGGTCTCAAAAGGAATTTTGTATAATTAGTGAAATCTAAAATTTTATAATTAATGTTGGGCAATGTGATACATTTTTACAAATAGCATGCAAGGCCGTATGGTCTCACATGTGTCTTTTCTTCTCATATTGTAAGACCATGAAGAGCAAGTCAAATTAATAAAATGTTGCTCAGTTTCTAGTGCTGATCAATTTCTTTGAAAAAGTAGCTATATTTTAGTTGACAATAGGTGAAATAGGTTCTCAAAATGACATTAGCAGGCAACGTAAATAAAATTAAAAAAATAAAAATTTCATACATACACCAGAAGAAATGCCTTGTCGACCATATGAATATGCATCATTAACAATAGAATCTAACTGAGACTGCCAACCATCCATTAACTTGGTGTTTCTCATGTATGTACTATTGAGAATACTACTTCCCACTTGGAGCATGTGAATACCTTCAGAGTATACCTGAAATTCAAATTGCTCAATATCGTATCTTTCTGTTGCACAATAAATTCAAAAGTTAATGACAAATATTACCTGAACAGTTAAGAAAACGATTGTAGAAATTATAGCACATATCACTCCCAGAATGACAATAGTACAACAAGCCATGTTCACAGAATCTTTCAATATTTCCATTATCACCCCATTCATTTGTGTAGCAAGCTAAAATAGATATTAAAAATATTAAATATTCTAGAAAACAAAAACAATAAAATACGAAGAAAGCTTTTTTTTAAAATTATGTTTCATTAGGATGGGAGATTCAGTTATTTTAAATCAAAATAAAGTTTTTTATTTAAATTTAAATATAAATAATAAATTTTAATATACAAAGTTTTGGGACAAATCTGAAAAAAAAAGAAAAAACAACAACAACCAATCTGATTTTCAGCAAAGCTCTAAATTTTTCACAATTGCAATACTTTAATTTTTCCCCCTTCAACTACAATTTTGAAATTAAAAAGATTTTTTATAATATTAGTAGTTTTAACTCGTATTAAATTAACCACTAGTTTCTTTTCAGTAAAAACATATTAAAGACATTCATAAATTAGACTTTTCCATAAAGAGCTCCAAATTTTTCTATTAAAAAATTGTAATGACACATAAAATCATTACTAGTAACAAATTTTCTTTAATATTACTATGCTTGAGTAATTAAGTCACAAAGTAATGAGGTAAATGCCTAACATAGAGCAAAGGTGCAAAACAAGTTTACATTTTACTGTAAGATTATTTTGTACTTGAGAGTATAGGCTTTCATAGCCGGAATCAGTAGCTACTTGGCTGTCTGGAAGACATATTCACAGGTGCCAATGTTTCAGCCACCTTTCTGCTACCTTTCTCAGGGTGAAATGTCCTCCTATTTTGTACCTGTCTCGTCTTTGTATGTGTGTGTTGGTTGTGATGATGTTGGATTTCTCAATACTCACAAATGAAGTTTTGTTTCAATGTGAGTTTACTTTATTATGTACTTCTTTGTATGGCTTTGTGGTGAATAAATTTGAGTTTTAAATTAATATTCCTGTGAATAAACTTATAAGTTTATTATTTTATTTGAAATAGTTTTTAAGAAACAGTTAAGCACTGAGATGTATTTTTCATGACTTTTTACTTTCTTGTATATACAGGGTAATACACATAGTAAAGAGAAATTTATGTAATACTGCAGAAAATCAGTTTCGGGATTTCAACCGAAATACAGGTGACGAAACAATGTTTTTTTTACAAAACATCCATTTGTCTGTCTCTTCTGTCCATCTGTTAACACCACTAGCACCTGAACCATACACAGAAGTTTTTCAAAATTGAATAAACCCTTATCCATTTGACTTGAGTCAAAGCTTTGAGATTTCAAAGAAAAAAAAGCCTTCAAAAGTTGGGGGGGGGGGGGTACATGAAGCACCTGGAGCATTTTCCAAATTTTCACAAAAACTGCTCCAAATTTGTTCTTTAAATTTCTTATAAAAACGCTTATAAAGGTGGCGTAAATATAAAGATAAGCGATTTTGCTTAATTTTGAGTTATATGGTGATACAACTCAAATAAATGCCTTTTCAATCTGTCACCTTCAATATAGAAAATACTGATTCCTTTTTAATTTAATATATATGTCAATATTAGGTCGTCAAACCACTTAACATACCCTTTTTTAAAAATATTACTAGTTACCAAGACCAGTTTATATTTTTCAATTGAAAGCTGAATATTGGAAAGAAGGTGCAATAATATATGCAATTAAATGCATTCGTAGCACTGCAAGTAACTTTCTCATTTACATAAAATACACGTTATAATGCCGTAACAAATCAATGTGGAGATTTTGATGTTAATAAAGTTTTGGAGATCTCAGATTCTGAAAACGAGTTGATATTTTTCTCATTCTTTTTTTTCCCAAAACATTTGTCTGTCTATCAGTGAACAATACTAGCAAATACACTGTACATAGAATTTTCACAAAAATGTTTATTTTCAGATTGATCTGATGTCCTGGCCCCTTGAAATTAAAATGTATCTTAAATTTTGGCAGTATTTCACACAAAGAACATCAGATATTTCAAAAATATTCTCAAAAATAGCTCTAATTTTTTCTTCCAATTTTTGGATTGAATACAACCAAGTATGGTTATATAAATTACTTTGTTCGGATTCTCATTAAAACTGCAAGATTTTTGAAAATTGCAAAGCTCAAAATGTTTTGGAGACACACTCACAACTGCATTATTGAAGATAAGAGATTTTCTTCTTAATGAAACTTATTCTTTAAAATTAAATATGAAAATGATATATACAATTTTTTCTACTTCAAAATAGTTGTTTTTAATTCATTTTGAAACTGTAATTTTTAGAAATACATAAACAAGTTGTTTCAAAACCACCTGCAATTTTTTTCTTTTAACTTTTTGAACAGATAGACGACAACGCAATATTAAGAAAATGTGGAATTCTCTCAATGAATATTTTTTACCAAGAGAAAATATTGAGCTACAATTATTATCAAGGCGCAACAATCTAGAAAACTTTTGCAAAGTTCACACCTACAAAGATATTATAAATTAGACTTTCAGCATTTTTGATTCACTGATTAGGGATTCCGGGCACACAATCTGCTAAGGTCATTAGTCCTATAGATGCAGTGCATGTGGTTTTTCCTCAGGAGGTGGTGAGGATCGTCCCCCACTGGATGGTGATTTTTGGCACTAACCTACCTGTCCACCAGTGAGGTTTTCCTTAACCAGGTACCTCTCATCAGCGGGGCATCACCCCAGCCGAAGCAAACTCTAAGCTCCCAACTGGTCTCTGAGCATGTGCAGTAGTGTAGTGGATGTAAGTGTAAGTGTAAGTGTTTTATAAGTACGGAGGTGAGAACAGGACAAGGAATAGGAAGTAAATATCATGTTAAGTTCATGGCCTGTTTGTTAGGGTACTGTTCTGGCATTCACCTGGTATTGATCAGAGAAACCGGAGAAAACTACTAATGAGAGCAGAAGGCTGCTGGAATTCTCTTCCAGACAATGACTGAATTTGACCTGGATATCTAGCTAGTGTCAAAAATCCTGACATCGTCAGGACTCCAATATAGGACCACCCGGTCAGAGGCACTGCAGTGACATCAGATGATACCCTGAGCCACCTCTCCTCGTTTTACCATATTTATACATGAAATTCAATTTATTTGAATATGAATTTTTATAAAACATCTAGAACAACTTTTGAGAGAATTTTGAAAACATTCTACACTTACATGAAGCACCACTCAAAATTAAATTATTAATTTTACTTTCATAAGTCGCAAAGTCGAAATTTGATCAATTAAAGAATATCCATTTCAAAGCAGTGTTGTGTTTGGTTTAGAAGCTAGTGATGTTTACACAGTTAAAATATTGCAAAATACTTTATTTAATATGAAATCTTTGGACCCTATTATCCAAATGTAATCACAAGAGACACCATGAGGAAATTACAACCTTTAAGGCATGGAAAGAATCATTTAAATCAGATACTTTGCAAAAGTTATGGTTGAAAAAAAACAACAACTAAGAACAAAATAATATACATGTGTAATAACTTCCTTTTGAAGGTGGTTACAAAAGAGAAGGTAGTAGATGCTTCATTTAATATTGTTTAAAACATAACAATGTCTAGCAAAACTGTCATCTCATTCTTTTTCCAAAAGAATTTCAAATATACCAATACCATACAGACCTTGAAAAAACCAGTTATGTGAACTGGAAATAATGCTTCATGACGTGACGAATACCAAGTGTGTATAACTGTCCATAATTTCTTTATCTGTTCCTCAATCATCTGCCAAATATGAAAATATTGGCCTGAAAATCACACATTTGAGAAATAAAATGATTGCAACAAGAATCAGAGAGTTATTTGAGACACACTTTTTCAAATATAGCAACATGTGTAATTGGGATGAAACATACTCTTATAACAATAACTATTCTACTCCTTACAATAGTGCTACATATGGAATTACAAAATCAAAAATTGTAACACATCTTATATGAACTGAACTTGCAAATAAGCAGGATCAAATGTCCATTTTATTGAGCAAGTAATTTTCATTAAAATTACTGACATTGGAGACATTAGAATTAAACAGCAATTCAAAGTCATAACAGAAAAATTTTAATTGGTCAATTCTTGTAAATTCTTAAAATGATAAAAACATTCAAATATTTTCCATATAACACTGTAGATAACATAGAACCTAAAAATTAAAAATGAGAAAATTAACATACCTGTGTGTTTAATTATATAAATTAGCAGAAGTATATAAGTAGCATGCAGAAGCCAAAAGTAGGTCCACATAGAGAGAAGAACACATGCCCACGTTAAACCATACAGATATTTTGTGCTTTCAGGGCGTTCACGATGTTTTGAATTTACATTTGAGCTCCCAACCTCAATTCTGGCTTTATGTTTATGAAGAGCAGCGGCAATCATTTGTTTTTGAAAAGATGTTTCTGAAAAACTTGGAGTGCTTCTCTCAATCCCTGAACTACTTGCAGTTTCATCAAGTGGCAAAAGTCTCTTCCTAACATCTTTTTGAGAAATAGTTTCAATGTTCGAGTATTCTTTTTCAGAAGGATTATTTATAGAACCTACTGCACCAGAGACAAGATCTTTTGGTCTTATCTCTACATTTGCACTATCTTTGGGTTTAGAAAGATTTTCTTTTTCTAAACCTTGTTCATTTTCATTCTTCTCATTTACATCTTTAAGCTTTTCCTCTGACAACAAAGATTCCTCCTGGAACTGTACAACTAATCATAAAAACTAATAGATATCAATAATAAAATATTCATTAAGTTATTTCCAAGATGTTGTAATACATACATAAATTAAATGTTCACGTTTTCCATGGCATAAAGCGTTAAAGGCATCAAAGAGGGTCACATTCTTATCTGAAATTGTGGAATAAATGTTGAACGATTTTTTTTAGTATCTACAATGTGACAGAATAAACCTTGAATATATTCTTAATTATTCTAAAAGAATTACTTTTTCTTGAAATATTTGATGCAGACATCTTTTCATACACAAGAAGAACTTCATAGCCAAAACCACAACCAAAAAGGCATTGAAGAACAAAAAATATTGTCACTTGAAACGATGATGCTAGACTGGCCAAAAATAAAGAAATTGCCATCCACAAAAAAACAGCTGCCAGAGTAAAATAATGAGCTGTATCTGGAGTCCAGAATGATATTAGAAGGATAATATACCCAAGAATAATTGCCAATATCTGAAAAAAAATCATTACTGATAAAGGTCTTTAACTTTAATTATATAACAAATATTTGAAAAAAGGATTCCGTAACACTTACTCTGTAAGTATCAAAAAGGCTCATAAACCATGAAATAGCATTGCTCCCAATCATTCCAAGTTTCCATATGATGCAAATACATATGTGAGGAGTATACTGGTACATAATATGGCAAATGCAGAGGCAAAGCACAAAGCCAACAATGTACTTTATATACTTCAGAGTCACATTTCCAATTCTTTCAGATGTGTTGTCCAGAATTTGTATGGGTACAATAATAATTCCCAAAAGCAAAGGAGTTGAATTTGTAGGTAGGCTGCTTAACCATGAATTCATTGAAGTTGCCAAAGAATGTTTGATAGGATACAATACAGATCCACATAAAAGGGCCCATAATAATGGTTTAAAAAATGGTTCTAAAACAATGAACACCGCCCACCCAGCAGAAAGAGCAATCATTAATAAAAGAATTGCTAAGGCATTGTAAAATCCATGTTTTAATGCTTTTTCATGATCTTGGGGAACACCACCCAAAAGGTTTACAACATTCTCAATTGGAGATTTGAGAAATTCTAATGACGGAGAATACATGGTTAACTTATCCAATAAGTAACTCAGAGTCTATACATTTGAGAATGTCTCATTATGTCCTATACAAACATTTTGTCCGTCTTCAAGACACAAATGCATCAAATTTTGACAACTGACTCAATGGCAACTTGATCGTTGAATATCTCCCGTGTTTAAGTCGGTCACCTGAAATTATATAATATTATTTGTAAAGGAAATGTATTTACTGTTAAATATGCAATTGTCTTTGTTCAATTTTTCTGTAAGTTGCCGAACAGGTTTCTTTCTTACCTTGCCTCTCTCGCCTTCACTTTCGATTATCCAGCATTATATTTCTTACAACAACTCTTTTCACAAGTACGGAACTCCTGATCTGCAAAAGGCGAAAAGAATGATTGACAGAAGCTAACATATAAATGATCCATAATAAAAATATAATGTAATTTAGCGGGTCATAGGCGTAGGGGGAACGATGCAAAGCAATGAAGGGGTAACATAATTCTAATGCAACAAAAGTTGGACAGGCAAAAATACAGAGTCGTATTTTGCCGCATCCACTAAATAGATACATAAAACTAAGTCGGATTAATTAGTTCTGATCCATACTTCGGCCTGCGCAAAACGCCAGACATAAGTGAAATTCATTACCAATGCTTTGACATGCTGCAGCGCGTGCAATGAGGAATAGCCAACTTACAAATAAATAACTCCTCTAACGAAAGAGTCCAGAATATTGGTTACACAATATCTACTTAATGTAAAATCGCTAATATTACATTTTCAAAAATAAAAACTATTCTAATTGAATTATTTTGCCCTAACACTTCAGTTTTTTAATAAATAATATATTTGAAAATATTTTATTTTATTATTTTCAAGAAGAAAAATAACAATGCTGTAATTGTTGATGTACCTGTTTCTTTGCATAGGCCAATTTTAATGTAAACGTGTCTGCAATTTAATCATTGCGTGGAATGTTATTGATACTTACATATAATGAATCAACACTTTATTACATTAAATTACATGAAAATCAATCAAATTATTTTGTAAATATTTTATTTGGTTCATGGAGCAGTATTAAGAATGGATTTTGGTATTCTACTTTAATCATATTTTCCCCCCTACAGTTTTTACTTTTTTTTTTTTTTTTTTTTTTTTTTTTTTTTTTTTTTTGACTGAATAAATCTAAATCTAAATCTAAATCTAAATAATTTTCATATGAATATTTTATCAATGTTTTCCACACTGCGTCGCATCGGTGTCGTCACCTGAAACATGACGCGGTCTCTCTGAATAGCCACCTCACGCTTCGCAATTAAGATATCGTTCCGAGTTGTCTACTCTAGGGTCGGTGGTCAAAAAAGAGGTCAGTTGACTGTCAACCATCTGCATCAATAGATATCATTTTTATCGTCAATGAAAGATAATTATAATATTAAAAAAGGCAAGGGGAATTTGATGGGAATGGTTCTCCATTTTTTCTTTCCCATATACGTACGTATTATAAGGGGTAATACACTTAGTATGAACAAAGTTTCCCTGATCCATTGAGCAAATGCTGAGATGGCCCCTTGTTTTGCTTGAGTAAAGAGTAGAGGTAAGGGCGTGTTGCTATTTTGTTAGCAATGCAGAAAAATCATACTTACAATTTGTATACCGATGCAAATAAGTTTTCTATAACTGAGAAACGAAAATAACTATTTTTCAAATATTGCTAAACTTACGATTTTTAAAATTTATTTTTATTTCTTTATGTTAAACTCATCTTACAACTATTTATGAATAAATCTAAATACTGTACTTGGGCGGTAAATAAATTTCGAGATTTCAGCGGATATACACGTTTTGGGGTCCCCTGAGAAATTGATTTTGTTCAAAACGTCCGTCCGTCGGCTTGTCCAACCGTCTGCAAACAACACTATCACCAAAATTAAGCATAGGAATTTTTCCTAAATAAGTACTCCCCAATCAATCTGGCCTCATTCGAAGCTCAGCGATTTATAATAACATTCTTTAATTTCTGGGTAAACTTTATAAGAAACTCGTGCGACATTTTCAAAATTTTCTCAAAAGTGGCACCATTTTTTTCTTTAAATTTCTGGTAAGAATAGAGTGAAATACACTTTTAAAGGCTGTGTAGATCCGATTTTTACTGTTAACTCCGAATTTTCTAAAATTGCGAAAGTTCTAAACTTTATAGGCGTGTTCCTACAACTACAAAATTCACATCGCTGTTAGTATGCACAAATTGCTATTAATATTCACATTAACAGCAATTTGTAAACATTATTGCATTTAAGAGTGTACCTGCTTCAAATGATTTCTTATAAAGTTTCTAGAAAACTCAAAAATTTTCTGTGAAAATTAGCTCAAAATTACGCATTTTCAGGAACGCTCAAATGCAATTTTCCCAAAAACGGGTCCAAAATTTTCTTCAAACTTTGTGTACTGATAGTAATAAATCCTCTGTGAAGATGGCATGGATGCCATTTTGCTGAATTCTTTTTATTTTCCAAAAATTATGCAAATGTATTTTCTGTTAAATATCTCTCACACCGTTAATGTGCACATTTCCAGCCATTTCTATGCATTGAAGAGCCTCAGATGATTTCCACTGAAGTTTCTCGAAAACTCAAAAAGTTTTATGTGAAAAAGAGCTTCAAACTTCACATTCACAGGAACGCTTACACGACATTTTCTTAAAAGCTCTTCAAATTTTTCAATGAAAATTTCCATAAAGGACGAGGTTTTACTCTTTTGTAATATTCTTAAAGTAATATTTTGCTTTTACCCTTAGGAAACCGAAAAATTGAGAAAAAATATACTTTGTAATGTAATTGGCAAAAGGATGGAGCAACACCGAAAAGATAGCCCCGATCAAAGAAATAAATTAGAAAGCTAAGTAGTGCGAGAAAGTATGTGCCATTATGTAGAACCACTAGTTAATTTTTTCATCGAATAGGGGAAAGTACACTAGTAAAAATGGTTCAGATCCGAGTTGCGTTGAATTATCTGAATTGCCAAAGTTAAACATCTTTGGCGTGCTAACCCAACTGCTATTTTAAACATTTTTTTTATAACAAAATATGTTCTTCAAAAAGAGATAATTAAATAAGATCATGTTCAATTTTCTAAAAATTAAAGTAGTTTTCTCGTTTTCAAAAAGGACCGTTCTTTATCTTTTTTTATCGGATAGTGCGAAGTACACTTATAAAAATGCGCAGATCGAATTTTCTTTCACCTCTCTGGATGTTCAAAAGTTGCCAAATTACGAATAATACGAGAGATCATGTGCTGTTCAGCACCTCTAATTTTGTTAAAATACCGCCATTGAAGGCAAATTTCTCCATCTGGAATTGACCGCGTGTTCGTGCTTTGAAACTGTCTGGTATCGTCATATTACAGTAACTTCATCGTAATTTGATCTTCGATCATGTTCAGGAACAAGCTGGCGGATATCTCCCCTATTGATCGCGAGAGATACGAGGTTAACCCATTTACATTTACCAAAGGAATCTCCTCTCGACATCTTACCTATTGTTGCAAACGATTACGATGATTGATAGATGCAATAGCTACGGTAATCGTCTATTAACGTGTGACGATCTGGGCACGTAGTTAAACATCGACCCACAAAACTCCTGGATCCATTTTACATGTGATTTCAAATGTAGCAAAAAATAATCATTACCAGTGTGGGAATTTCAAACCATTTAAATATAAACTATTAAATATTACGATCTTTCCTGTTCTGGTAGTCTAGATGTGCACCACTTTCCAGAAGGTCGTACAAAATGCCATTCAAAAAAGATCCAACTTACAATATTTTTTCATTCATAAATTCACGTCCATTTGTCAACACAAAAGTTCTCTAGTCGGCAAACCTACTTCAATGTTCTACATTCTCCTTAATTGCTAGTAGGTTTATAAATCAATTTCCAAAATGAAATTCATTTTGTTTTCATAGTTATGAGTTTTGCGTAGTAGTATGTGACTCACTTGTGTACCAACGTGTCAATCGAAAGTGCTAGATTGCCTACAACACAAATACTGCAAGATCATTTTTCTCTAGAAGTGTGTTTTAAACACCATCATAATCCAACATTTTAGAAGAAAAATTTGAAATTATAAAATTTTAAATTAGGGTACATCAATTTTGGAGAAAATCATCTGAACGGTTTAGCCGCTAGCGTTGTTCATAGACGGACAGACAAACGTATTGCCGTCATTCAATTTTCCGGTATCAAGGACCCACAAAACCTGTATGCTGGCTACACTACTTGTTAGAGGATTTTTTTCTAAATTTAGGAACTGTATTTATCCATGTTTCCGTTACCTGGGCTCTGTAATAAGAGTTTTTCTGCCAAAAATTCGGATTTGTTATCGCATTATATAACGTTCTCCGTAGCGAGAAAGTAAAAAGAGTGATGTAGGAGCGAGTTCTTTAATTTTTATGAACTGAATAAAGTAACTTTATGAACGAGTTACATATGGTACCTTTTTTATAACTTCATTTTAAACTGATTAAGGAATGAAAATAATTTTGGACTTGAGTTCAAACATGGTTTTTAGCTGCCTTGGTATATAAAACTAGCATAGCGTGGCGTCGCTAGCACGTTGAAATATTCTATTTTGGCTGTGTAAGGTCATGATAAAAAGAAAATTTAAACACAGTACTCTTGGTCTAACCTCGGACACAGATAATTCCATGAAAGAGGAACGATAGAAGAATTGTTGAAAAAAAAAAAATAAAATGTATGTTCATTACCGAATTAGATTTAATTATCATCAATTGTTTGAAACGTAAGTAAACATTTCAAACATACGTATGTGTATGATTAACACAATCTGCCCACATTGTGCAAGCCAATTTGAAAGTTCTTATATTCAGGTTTGACAATATTTTGAACTTTAAACAATGTAATTTTTATGAATGTCTGACTTCAACGTTCTTGTATGCTTGAGTAATACGCGGGTTGAGTCTCATCCAGTAAGGTTATTCTTTGAAACTTGATCTGTTGGTCTGTGGAGTTTATCTTTTAAATTAATTAGTCTTCTTTTTCCAATAACATATTTACATTACTAATACTAATATTATTAATACTAACTTCGTAGTTTTATTTACAATTTTTTTATTTATGAAATAAAGTATCATAGGCATGTCATTCAATTTAAATATTATTTCTTTTACCTTTTAGAGACCTTTTGAATGTATGTTTTTCTTCTCTTTGCAAATAATTATTTCATTTACTTGTACGACGTTTTCCGCGACGCTTATTGTTTGTGAAGTTGTATTCCTCGACTGCGTGCTGCTGAATTGAAGTTCCCACGAAGTCTCGACAACTACCCGGAATCTTCTTTTCTACTTTCTTGATGTTAACATTGAACGAAAGTTACTGTCCCTAAATCTAATATTAACTAATGCAAACTATTTATATTAAATGATTTCCCGGATGTCTCGATAAGACATTTCTATTTCGACACTAATTCAAATTACGATAATCGCGATACAACGAGCAAATAGCATCTGCGAACATTACTGTCTCGATAAAGCATGTCACCTCCATTTTCATTTTTCTTATAATTTTTTATGAGTAATTTTGCCATTGGCTTCCACCCGTTTGCGGATAAACGCCTATCCTGTCATGAGACCTACACCTGTACTAAAACGTGTCACCTTTGTTTGTCCCTTTCCTGCATTCCATAATATGCTACCCAAATTAAAAAAGAAATT